GAACCGGACTCAGGCAGGAACCACCCAAAGCCAGGTGGCTAACATCCTGCCGCTAGAGCCTCTTGTTCTGAACAAGGTCCCCAAATCTGGACTCGCCATGGTCTCTGACTGATCTTTACAGCTGGAATTTCTGCTTCCAGATTAAGTCTGGGGTGGGTATGTCCAGTATTCATGCTCTAGCAGGAACTGAGGTAAGAATGTGTTCACTTCATCCATCTGCCTTCATCCATAGGGAGAGAGGAGACTGCCTCGTCCTGTTTCTGTTTCTTGAGATTCCCCCAAATGAGAGTTGGGCAGCCAAACTGACAAATGCCAAGTCCCCCCTCCACTCCACAAACTCTATATTCTCTCCTGTTACCCTTCAGAAGGGCTCCATCTCCCAGGCTCAGTTAGTCACTCAAAAAACATTCACTTGTACCTCCAGGTACCAGGCAGTGTACTAGGTGCTGGGAGAAGGCATGAGCAAAGGAAACAGAAGTTACACTCTCTTGGGGAAGAGACAGATAATGATTACGCAAGCAAATAAGACAGTTACAGACCGTTGTAATGCCCTAAAAGAAGCAGACAGGGAGCTGTGATGGAAAGTAAGAGAGGTCTCCTAGAGAGTTTCTGTTATCTATACCTCCAAAATTAGTAGCTTAAAGTACTCATTAATTTAGCTCATGATCTTGTGGGTCAGGAATCCGGAAAAGGCTGGACTGGGAGCTTCATCTCTGCTCCACGTGGTGTCAGCTAAAGTGTCTGGGGCTGGAGAATCCACCTCCAAAATGGCTTCTCGGGCAGCCTGGGTGGCTGAGCGGTTTAGCGCTGCCTTAGCCCAGGGCAGGATCCTGGAGACCCGGGATCTGGTCCCATGTCGGGCTCCCTGCTTGGAGCCTGCTTCTCCCTCTGCCTGTGTCTCTGCCTCTCTCTCTCCTCTCTCTCTCTCTCTCTCTCTCCTCTCTGCGTTTCTCATGAATGAATGAATAAATAAAATCTTAAAAAAAAAAAAAAGAAACAAAATGGCTTTTCTTTTGCCCCAAATTTTGTAGTGGAAAAATTCAAATTTATAAAAAAGCTAAAAGGATTGTACAGCAAACACTACACTTACCACCTAGATGGTACACTTAACATTTTCCCATCATTGCTTTATCTCAGATCTGTCCATCGCTCCACCTCTCCCAGATGGCTTCTTTATTCCCTGATCTGGTGTCTGATGTTCCTTGGATTCTCTTCCTCCGTGTGGTTTGGACTTCTCACAGCTCACTGATCTCAGGCTGGTCACCCTTCTTACGTGGCTGACTTCCAGGCCAGGCGACTGCCATGCCTGAGGCTGACACAGTTCCTTCCACAGTATGCTGCTGGTCAAAGCAGCCATGGGCAGAAGAGCTTCTGGGGTGGCAATACTGCTGGAGCCATCTGTAGAAAAAACAACTAGCTAGAAAGGGGGGTCGGGGGGCCCTTTCTGAAAAGGTGGTATTTGGGCTGAGCCCTGAGGGATGAAAATGAGCCTGATTTGTGAAAAACCAGGAGGGGAGAGCATTCCAGGCAGAGACCGACAAAGGCGAAGGCTCAGAGGTAGAAAAGCAAGTCTTGCACCTCAAGTTTTCTTTTCCCATATTTGATCCAGCCCATTTATCTGGAACACACATTGAACCGCTTCCCTCATGAAGCCTTCTCAGATACCTCAGTCCCTGTGGATCCTTCCTTTCTTCCTGGGGCGCTCATGCCTGGAGAGCCCATCTGGCTTGGACAGGTTGGCTGGGTAGTGCACTGGTTATGCCTGTCGCCTCTGGGACGCTTTGGGAAGTTGCTTAACTTCTCCAGCCCTAGGCTTCTTTACTTGTAAATGAGCATAATTACAGCTGCCTTGTAGGCTTGCTGACAGGAGAATATTGATGTATGTAAAGTGCTTGGCACTTAGTGAATACGCAATAAATGGCAGCTATAATTAATAATTACAAACCAGTTTATGCTGTCATGTGTTCATCTAGTTTAGAATTTTTTTTCAGAGCAGAAACCATATCATTTTCAACTTTTTCTTTCATGCTGCGAGCAGTGTGCCTTGCATAGATATCATGGGTAGGAGCAAGTGTGGCACAGAGCTCTTCGCCTTGCTGTGGTGCTAATAGAGCCACGTAGGGCACAGAGATGAGCAAGACTCAGCTGGAGCCTTCCAGGAGCTTCCAGAGATAGAGAAAGTTAGCCATGCTTATAGCAGCCACACTGGGGATCTTTTACATTTGGATACAGAGTAACAGGTTTCAAAGCACCTGTGCATCTGTAGTAGTTTGCTAGGCCTCCATAAAAAAGTACCACAAACTGAGTGGCTTAAACAACAGATATTTATTTTTTCACAGCTCTGGAGACTAGGAATCTGAAATCAAAGCTGAGGGTTGTGAGGAACAATCAGCTTCATGGCTTTCGCCTAGCTTCCAGTGGTTTGCTGGCAATCTTGGTGTGTAGAAGCATCACGCTGATCTCCACCTTTATCTTCACATGTCATGCTCCCTGGGTGGAGATCAATGCCCAAATTTCCCCTTTAAATAAGGACACCAGGGAACCCTGGGTGGCGCAGCGGTTTAGTGCCTGCCTTTGGCCCAGGGCGCGATCCTGGAGACCCGGGATCGAATCCCATGTCGGGCTCCCAGTGAATGGAGCCTGCTTCTCCCTCTGCCTGTGTCTCTGCCTCTCTCTCTCTCTCTCTCTGTGACTATCATAAATAAATAAAATTTTAAAAAATAAAATAAAATGTTAAAAAAAATAAATAAGGACACCAGTCAGATTAGTGCCCATATTAATCACCTCATTTTATTTTTTATTTTTAAGATTTTATTTATTTATTCATGAGAGACAGAGAGAGAGGCAGAGACACAAGCAGAGGGAGAAGCAGGCTCCATGCAGGGAGCCTGACGTGGGACTCGATCCCAGGTCTCCAGGATCACGCCCTGAGCAGAAGACGGTGCTAAACCACTGAGCCACCCAGGCTGCCCCAATCACCTAATTTTAACTTGATTACCTCTATAAAAAAAATCATACCTTCATGTATGATTATATTCTGAGCTACTAAGGATTGGGACTCCAACATAACCTTTTTTTTTTTTTTAAGGCAGAAGACATAGCTTTCTATTCCCATCCAATTTTATTTATTTATTTATTTATTTATTTATTTATTTATTTATTTATTTATTTATTTATTTATTTTTAAGATTTTTATTTACTTATTTAACAGAGAGAGTGAGAGAGCATAAGCAGGGGGTAGTAGCAGCAGAGGGAGATGGAGACGCAGGTTTCCCGCTGAGCAGGAAACCCGATGCAGGGCTCCATCCTAGGACCCTGAGATCATGACCTGAGCTGAAGGCAGATGCTTAACTGACTAAGCCACTTAGGGGCCCCTCCAACATAGCTGTTTTTGGGAGGAGATATAATTCAACACATATGACAGAGAGGGTCTGTCTCCCATGACCCTCCTCTCCTCATCCCCATCCCACAGTGAGTCCCTTTAAGGGCAAGTACCAACTCTTATTCTACATTCCTGTGCCCTTCAGGCTTGAGCTTCTCTTCCCTTCTTATGCCCCAAGCCTTTCCCACAGCCTTTCCACCTCCCACCATGCGGTTTCCTCCCTCTCCTTGCCTGGCAAAATGCTCTTCATTCTTCTTTTCTTAGTTTAAATGTTACCTTCACAGAGAGGCCTTCCCTGATCGCCCTATCTTGATTGTATCTCCTACCTTATTTTCTCATGGTTTCCCCTCCTTCCCAACACATCTCCTGATTCATATATATTTCTCTGTGTGATTGACTAATGGAGGTGTCAGACATGAATTCCTACTCTGTAAGCACAGTGAGGGTGGGGATCCACCTGCCAGCCACGGTCTTCCCAGTTCCATAGTACATGATCCAGGGCAGAAACTCCATAATTATCTGCTGAATGAATAAATGAATGCTACGTTTTCTATCTTCCATTCCACCTCACATAGCATGGAGTTAGTGGACGTTGTCTGAATTATAATTATTTCAGTATCCTCTAAGAGTGAGCTTTTTTTTTTTTTTTTTTTAAAGACTTTATTCATGAGAGACACACAGAGAGAGGCAGAGACATAGGCAGGGGGAGAAGCAGGCTCCATGCAGGGAGCTCGATGCGGGACTCGATCCCAGGACCCCAGGATCATGACCTGAGCCAAAGGCAGATGCTCAACCACTGAGCCACCAGGTGCCCCTAAGAGTGAGCTCCTTGCGGGTAAGATTAGGTTTCAATTCTTTTTTGGATCTCTACCATCCAACCCCTCCTCTGCGAGCAGCCGAGCAGCCGAGCAGCGAGAGTGCTCTATGTTGCATGACAAAGGACCCTGAAAATAGGAGCTTAAAGCAGTAACGTTGATTATTTCAGAATTTCACTGTATCTCCGGTAACTAACACAGAGCACAGAGTATGGCACTGTTAATTTTCCGGGTTTTTTTTTCTCAAGTACGTTCTGTGCCCACGACTCGGAGATCAAGGGCCGCGTGCTGTACCCCGCCCCCGCCCGCCCCCCCCCCCCGGCCCGCCCGCCGCGGGTGAAGGCCTGGAACGAATTCTAATAATGCGCTTCCGTCTGAACGCTGAGAATTCTTATTTGCGTCCCCTCTTTGCAGGCTCCTAGCTCAGGGTCTACCATAGAATTAAAGCGCCCGTAGACGTCTACTAACCGTCTGCTGAAATGGGCTCAGACACAAAGGGGCTTTGAAACACCGGGGAGGTCTGTGCCCGCAGCCCCAGGCTCCCTCCCGCTCAAACCCCCCGAGTTGGGACAAAGGCCGGAACCCTAGCAACGCGGGAGGAGCTTGACCCGCGGGTTGCTAATGCGTCACTTCCGGGATCTGCGGCGGGAACCACTTCCGGGGGAGCGGCCCGGCGGCGCGGGAGGTGAGTGCGGCAGCGCGGCGGCGGCGGCGGGGCCCGGGCCCGGGCTCGGGCTCGGGCTCGGGCTCGGGCTCGGGCGTCGGGGCGGGGCGGCGGGAGCGGACGCCGGGTTGGGCTCGGGCGCCGCGGCCCGGCTGCCCCCAGCGGCGCGGCTCGGCCGGGCCCGGGGACGCCGTGCGCGCGGCGAGAATAACTTCCCGGGGCGCTCGCAGGAAGTTACTTGCGGGAGGGAATTGGAGTCCCTGGGGGGGCGAGGCCTCGCCCGGTGCCGCCCGGCGCGTTCGCTCGGAGCCCGGGCCGGAGCCGGGCGCTCCCTCCCACCTGCGGAGCGTCAGCGGCAGCCCCCGCCCCGGGGCCAGTCTGGCCGGAGTTGGACTCCAGAGTGGGCTCCCAAGTGCTGTGTCGTCGTGGGCCTTCTCTGGTGGCCTCCTCGGTTCTCAGTTTCCTCCTTTGTAAAATGGAGGAAAAAGCCCATAGGCTTGTGGTGAGGATTAAATGAGATGGTGAAGGCGAAGCGCTTAAGTGCACAGTGCATGTTTATTGTAATGAACCAATGTTGATAAGTTAATCTTAGCTAACGTCCGTGCTTTATTCGCTTTTGCTCAGCGTCCCCCGATGTCCTTTTATTTTTATTTTTTAAAGACTTTATTTACTCACGAGAGGCAGAGACACAGGAGGAGGGAGAAGCAGGCTCCACGCAGGGAGCCCGTCGTGGGACTCGATCCTGGGAATCCAGGATCACGCCCTGGGCTGCGGGCAGGCGCTAAACCGCTGAGCCACCCGGGGATCCCCCAGTCCCCAATGTGCTTTAAAAAAAAAAAATAGAAAGATTTTATTTATTCAAGAGGCAGAAACAGAGGGAGGGAGAAGCAGGCTCCCCCTGGGAGCTCCATGCAGAACTCCCATCTCGGGACCCTCCCCCAGTGTCCTTTATCTGCTCCAGGATCCTGTCCAGGATACATTACATTTAGTCGCGTGTCTCTCTCTCTCTCTCTCTCTCTCTCTTTAAGATTTTATTTATTCATGAGAGATACAGGCAGAGGGAGAAGCAGGCTCCATGCGGGGAAGCCGATGTGCGCCCTGGACTGAAGTCGGCGCTAACCGCCGCCACCCAGGGATCCCCTAGTCGCGTCTCTAAGGTTCCTCTTGGCTTTGATGGTTTCCCAGACTTTGCTTGTTAGAGCAACTTGGCAGTTTTGAGTAAAATGATCCTTAGTTGAGATTTGTCTGATGTGTTTTCGCATGATTAGTTGGGAGTTGGGAGTTTTGGGGCAGAAAACCACAGAGGTAAAGTACCATTCTCATCACATCAAGGGTACATGCTATTAGTATAAATTGTCACTGTTGATGTTAACCTTGGATCACTAGCTTGGGGTAGTCGAGTTTTTCCACTGTGAAATTTCTTCCTTTTCTCCTCTTTCCCATGTTGTGCTCTTGGAATAAAGTCATTTCGTACAGCCCGCACTTAAGAATGTGGAATCATGCTCCACACTTAAAGGCGGAGTATCTACATAAATTGTGTGGAATTCTCCACGGGAAATTTGTCAACTCGCCTACATTTATTTATTTACCTGTTCAATGATTTAGATCTGTATGGGCTCAGATATTTATTTTCATACTTTGGGTTTAATCCAGTAGTACTGTATTTTATTGCTCACACTGTTCCAGCTTTGGCCATTGGGCACTCTATCCCTTTGACATGTCCCAGCAAATGTGTTGTTTTGTGGGTTTTTTTTTTTTTTTTTTAACATTTCTGCTCAGGCTTATCTTGTATATTTCATGCCTCAGTCCTAGAATTAACCATTTCTTCGGAGCCTTGGTTCCTTTTATTGGAGAATGTATTAAATGCCAAGACCTGGTTGTTAGGTGTGATCATTGCTACTGGGATGCCCATGCTTCTAGGTCCTCAGTGCAAGAGACAGATGTGTGTATACTAACCTGTATATATACACATATCTATAAATACTTCCCTGTGTTGCCACCTGTGTCTATATTAAGCTAAATACGAGTTCCTAGAGATCTCTGCAACTCTCATCAATTCCACATGGATCGTTCTAGCCTCCTCTGGCTTATCTGTAACCTCCTACTCCATCTGACTAATCTAACTCCCACCATCTACCATCCATTTACTCAGTTGTTCAATTTCAGTATACATATAGTGGTTTCAAAATTGTTAACCTCTGTCGCCTGTGGGAAGTAACTATCAGGTAGAGTGTACTGTACATGTGTACTTCCTTTTACCTTTAGTCCTACAAACTCCACTCATTTTCATAGTTAACTAGGTTGGCACCTGATAGCCCCCGCCCTCCTTTCAACTACTAATTTTGTAAAGATTTTACTCATTTGAGAGAGGGAGGAAGGGAGGGAGCACATGCACATGACAGGGGGAGCAGTGGGGGAGGGGCAGAAGCAGATTCCCCGGTCTGGACCCTGGGATCTTGACCAAGCTGAAGACAAAAGACTTAACTGAGAGGCTGGGCCACACACGTCCTGCCCTCACCCCAGCCCTGTGAAGTTATTTAATACATTTGTAATACATTTAGATTCAGAATGTCACATTCTTTGTACCATCCTGGGATACTTTGACCTCTGAAATGATTTTTTTTTTAACATTTGCATACATTAAATTTTACTCTTTGTGTTGTAAAGTTCTGTGGGTTTTGACAAATCCTTAATATCTTCTATTCACCATTACAGTATCATACAGAATATGATCCCTTTGACCTTCAATCCCTTTGACCTTCAGGGATTATGTTTAACTTCTTTCTTTCGGATTTTACTTCAGCAGTGCCATTAGCTCTCTGCAAAATATATCCATATCCCCAGAACTTATCATCCCCCACTGCTGCCACCTGGGTGCAGGCATGTCTTTTTGACTGTTTCAGCAGCCTCCTGCCTGACTGGTCTCCGCAGTCCCAGGTCCCACTCTTGTACCCCTGCAGTCTTTTCTCAACAGGGTAGCCAGAGGGACCATTTAAAAATGAGTCAGACCCTGCCATCTTCTTTGCTAAGTACCTTCAAGAGTCTTCCCTTTTACTCAGGGGAGAAACCAAAAGGCTTTATAGTGGCCTCCTGGCCCTACACAGCTTGTTTCCTTTCTTGTTCTTCTTGATCATAAAGCTCATTCCTGCTTCAGGACCTTATTCCCACTGTTCCTCCAGTGGGTATTTAAATGGCTTTTCCTGTGCTTTCTTTTTGGCTCTGCTGAAATGTTACCTTCTCAAAGAGGCCCTTCCCTCACCACCTCATATCAAATCATACTCCTTTATATTTTCCCATAATACCCAACTCTGACATTATACTCCATGTGTATATGTGTTTGAGTACCCCCATTTGGATGAGAACTCCGTGGCAGAAGTTAGAATAACCCTTGACACACAGTAGGTGCTCAATAAATATGTATCCAATGAATGAATGTCTCAGACCACTGGTGTCTGGCATTCAGGGATGAGCCTCAAGGATTTTAATAACCTTATGAAATTATTTGTTATGTTTGGTAATAGATGAGTAAGTATTTTTTATTAAATTCTGGCAGGGGTATGAGATTTCCCCAGTGTATGAAAACCTCTGCTTGGGCAGCCCTGGTGGCTCAGCGGTTTAGTGCCGCCTGTAGCCCGGGGTGTAATCCTGGGGACCCGGGATGAAGTCCTACGTCGGGCTCCCTGCACGGAGCCTGCTTCTCCCTCTGCCTGTGTCTATGCCCCCCCCCCCTCTCTGAATAAATTAAAAAAAAATCTTAAAAAAAAATAAAGGCTCTTTAAAAAAAAAGAAAACCTCTGCTCTTAAAGCAAGTCTGGTGCGCTGTAGGCTAGAGACACCGCAGGATAGCTGTGCCTCTACTCACTGGGAAAGCCTAGGAAAGCCCCATGCTTCTCCACTCCTACTCCTCATTGTTAAATGAGGCGGTTGAGGCTTCTGTTCTTGCTTTCCAGGTGGGATACAGGCAGAGGCTTCATCATTCACCAAATATCTGAGTCAGGCCCTGGAACAAACTCGGGGTGGGCCCAGGGCCCCTGCTGTCCAGGGCCTTAGAGTGGAGCAAGTAAAAAACATTAGTCTCCAGACTCCTTATTTCTCAAATAATAAGAAATACGTTTGAATTTTGGCTCCGAACACATATACTTGGATGTAAATAGATGTAACTGAAAAAAAGCTTCAGGATACAATACTGACCCTTACTAACTGGATTTTTTTTCCTTCCTAATGTGATTTCTTTCTTTCTTTCTTTCTTTTCTTTCTTTCTTTTCTTTTCTTTTCTTTCTTTCTTTCTTTCTTTCTTTCTTTCTTTCTTTCTTTCTTTCTTTCTTTCTTTCTTCTTCTTTCCTTCCTTCCTTCCTTCCTTCCTTCCTTCCTTCCTTCCTTCCTTCCTTCCTTCCTTCCTTCCTTCCTTCCTTCCTTCCTCTTCCTTCCTCTTCCTTCCTCCCTCTACCCCCCACCTACACCAGTGGGTGGAAGGAGGGCAGGGACAGAGAGAGAGAATCCTTAGGGAGGCTCTGTACTCACAGTGCAGAGCCTCATGCAGGGCTCCATTTCACTTCCCTGAGCTCATGACCTGAGCTGAAATGAAGAGTCAGGCGCTTAACCCACTGAGCCACCCAGGCGCCCCACTAATGTGATATTTTCTATTGTCATTTATTTAAATCAAGTGTTGGCTAATGAAGTTAAGGAAAAAATGCTTCTTGCAGCCCACTAAGTGGTTTCCACGGCTCACTGATGGGTCACCGCCTGCATTTTGAAAACCACCGACCTAATGGGGAAGCTCTTAAGCTCTGGAGGAGCCAATCAGTTTGAAGCTTGACTTTACCATTCATCAGCCACCTGGTCCCTGGGCAGGGCACATAACCTCTCCCAGTCAGTTTCCTTGTCTTCGTTAGTAAAACCCACCTCCCTAGGTGGTTGCGACGTGAACCAGATGCTGCGAGGTGTGGTGCACATCTGTCAAACGATTGCTTGTTGCTGCTGCAACCATGGCAGAGGGTGGGGGGGCGGCAGGGCGACAGCCTGGCACAGGCACAGGGAGTCTGAGGGCAACCGCCTCCCACTTGAGATCTGAAGGATGAGTAGGACTCATGTGACTTCTGTACTCAGGAATTGAAGACCCGGAAACACTGGCAGGAAGGCTGGGAAGTCAAGCACAGGGGTGTAGACAAAACTAGGTAAGCGTTCTAAAGCACACATAATCTGTGTCAAGCAGATTTTTTCACAGTCACCCTCCCATTATATCTATGCTATCCTATATAGAAGCCTTTGCTTGAACAGTGACGATTCACATCTTCCTAACCTTTTTTGATCTTTGGCCAACAAAATCAGTTCATACATGGTTGCAGTCACAGTGTTCCTGTAATTGTTGTCTCTTCAGCGAATGTTATTTCGCAAAGACTTTCCACTGACCTGATATGCATCGTTTATATTTGCCATCTTAAGGGGGAATATGCCATGATATGCGGTAATTGGGTTAACTGACTCTTTATTGTTGGACACTTCAGTTGCTTCCTGTTTTTCACTATCATGAATAGCACTACTGTGAATTTTTTTGTACCTGAAGCGTTTTTTCTTGTTTTGAATTGTTTCCTTACTGTAAATTCTAGGAAATGAGTTATTCAGTCAAAGGATATAATCACTTTTATGGCTCTTGTTATATATGGCCTTATTGCCACTAAAAAGCTTAAATGCATTATTGCTTTGAATAGATATTATTGTTTGGCTCATGAGAATATCAAGACTCCAAAGTGTAGCTACTTGCTGATAGAATCAGGCTTTTTGCCCCCATGCCCAGGCCCAGTTTTTTTGTATTTCAAATATTCATAACAGTGTTGCTGTTAGTAACACTAGTTAATCCAAGTATTGATAAGTTCAGTAGGCTTGTTAACAGCATGAAGCTTGGGACCAAGGGCATTTTTAAAAATGTGTACTTTAGGGGTTCCTGGGTGGCTTAGTCGGTTAAACCTCCAACTCTTGATTTCTGCTCAGGTTGTGATCTCAGGGCCATGGGATCAAGCCCTGCATGACCCACACTCAGCAAGGAGTCTGTTTATCCCTCTCCTTCTGCTCTTTCCCCTGCTCATGCTCTTTGTCTCAAATAAATAAAATATTTTAAAATTTTTTCAAAAAATGTATAGTTTGTGAGCTGCAACTGAAAAAAATGAGAGCGCCTTCTTATACCTTGGTGTTCACATGATGGTGCCCTGGCAGGGCTGCACATTTCCTGCAGAGAAGCTGTTCTCGTGGCTGCTCTGGAATTCACTTCAGGCAGTTCATGAGCCACCCCAAACAATCTGCCTGTGTCTGAGCGTCATACCTTGTATTTGACCAAAAATGGTATTCCTGAGCTTGAGGCCCCACCTGATTCACCACACTTGGAACCAGATGATGTTGGGTTCTTTCCAGAAGTCAAATCCTTCCTGAGAAGATGAAGATCTGCCAGCTCTGAGGATTTTAAAAGGGCCCTCAGGCTTGGAAGGTGGCTCCCAAAGAAAGCAGAAATGATGTGAAAGTAGCCACCCTGTTGGCACAGGCATGTAACCTTCCTAAGTGTCCAGGTCAAAAGGGACACAGTACTTATTTGCATAAGTCCCACTCTACTTACTGAGAAGATCACTTTACTATCCTTTAGTCACTACTTTGATGATGGTGCAAAGCAGTGAAAGATCCTAGAAACTTCTCTTTAGCCCAGGGTTATGCTGGGGAATACAATGCAGGCCACGTGTGTAATTTTACATTTTCTAGTAGCCACATGTAAAAAGTAGAAAAAAGGGACGCCTGGGTGGCTCAGCAGTTGAGCGTCTGCCTTCGGCCCAGGGCGTGATCCTGGGGTTCTGGGATTGAGTCCCATGGATGGGCTCCCTTCACGGAGCCTGCTTCTCCTTCTGCCTGTGTCTCTGACTCTCTCTCTCATTTTGTCTCTCATGAATAAATAAATAAAATCTTAAAAAAAAAAAAGTAATTTTTTTTTCATTGTGGTAAAATGTATATAACAAAATTTACCGTTTTAACCATTTTTTTCCATTTTAACCATTTTTAAGTGTATTCAGTGGCATTCACAGGGGTGTCTAACCATCATTACTATCTCCAGAAGTCTTCCAGCATCCCAAACTGAAACTCTGTCCCGATTAAAAACTAAGTCCTGTTTCCCACCCCCCAGCCTCTGCTAACCTATCTCCACACTTGATCTTAGTCAAAAGGCCGAGAAGCAGTCTGCTAACCTATCTCCTAGTTTCTGGCTCTTTCTAGTTTCTAGTTTCTTTGCCTATCTAGGTACCTCTTACAAGTGGCATCAAACAACATTTGCCCTTTTGCGTCTGGCTTATTTTACTTAGCATCATCAGGGCTCATCCATGTTTTAGTAGGTGTCAGAATTTCACTCCTTGTAATAGCCAAATAGTATTCCTTTGTATATATGCCCCACATTTTATTGATCCATTCATCTGTTGATGGGCTCTTGGTTGTTTCCATCTTTTGGCTGTTGTGAATGCACCTCTGAACACTGGTGTACACGTTGTATCTGTTCAAGCCCCTGCTCTCTGCTCTTTGGGGGTATATACCTAGGAGTGCAGTTGCCCTATCATATGGTAATTCTGTGTTTAACTTTTTGAGAAACGACCAAATTGTTTTCTAGTTTGTATTTTCACCCTCTTGATAGTGTATAGTGTCTTTGGGTATACCAATTTTTAAATTCATCCTGATGAAGTCCAATTCTTTTTTATTTTGTTGCCTTTTTTTCTTTTTTATTTTGTTGCCTGTGCTTTTGGTGTCCCATGTAAGAAATCATTGCCAAATCCAATTTCATGAAGATTTTTCCCTGTGTTTTCTTCTGGGAGTTTTATAGTTTGAGCTCTTAAGTTTAAATTTTTTTTTTTAAGATTTTATTTATTCATGAGAGACACAGAGAGAGGCAGAGACATAGGCAGAGGGAGAAGCAGGCTCCATGCAGGAAGCCTGATGTGGGACTGGATCCCAGGACTCTCAGATCACAACCTGAGCCAAAGACAGAGACTCAACCGCTGAGCCACCCAAGTGTCCCTTAAGTTTAGCTCTTTGATTCATTTTTGCGTACATCTTTGTATATGGTATAAGGTTCCGGCCTCATTATTTTGCCTGTAGGTGTGCAGTTTTCACAGCACTATGTGTTGAAAAGACTGTTCTTCCACATTGAATGATGCTGGCACCCTTATTTGAAAATCAGTTGACTGTGTGTGTGAGGATTTATTTCTCAGTTCTCTATTTCATTAGTCTATATCCTTATCTCAGTACAATACTGTTTTGCTTTCTGTAGCTTCCTAGTAAGTTTGGAAATCAGAAAGTAAATCCTCCGATTTTGTTTTTAAAGATAGGGTGAAATTAATAATACAACTTAATCCTGTATATCATTTCAACATGTAATCAATATAAAAAATCATTAATGAGATATTGTACATTTTATGTTCCTCCTATGTCCTAACTTACGTGCATAATTAATTTAACAACCTTCTTAGTTTGGACCAGCTGTATTTCAACTCTCAACCACATGTGGCTCATGGCCACCATATTGAACAGCTCAAAAAAAATTTTTTTTAAGATTTATTTATTCATGAGAGACACACAGAGAGAGAGGCAGAGACATAGGCAGAGGGAAAAGCAGAATCCATGCAGGGAGCCCAATGTGGGACTCAATCCCAGGACTCTGGGATCACGCCCTGAGCCAAAAGGCAGATGCTCAACCACTGAGCCACCCAGGTGTCCCTGGACAACTCAAATTTAGCAGGAAATTGCATTGTGGCACACATCTCTGAAAAAACAGAGGGCTTTGGAGTCAGGTGGGCCTGGTTCCAAAGTCAGTTTGCCCCCCCCCCCTTTTTAAAGATTTTATTTATTTGAGAGAAAGAGAGCATGAGTGGGGGGCAGGGTGGGGCATAGGGAAAAGCAGACTCCCTGAGCAGGGAGCCTGGATGCAGAGCTCAATCCCAGGACCCTGGGATCATGCCCTGAGCAGAAGGCAGCCACTTAACTGACCGAGCCACTCAGGCGCCCCAGTTTGCCCCTTTCTTGTTGGGGTGGGCAGAGGAGGCCACTTGTGGGTACTGTGGTAGAGGGGAAGAATTTGGTCATACCAGGGCAGGGGGACAGCAATAAAGAAGGCATGCTGGGGAGGTGACACTTGAGCTCAGCCTTGGAGGTTGAGTGGGGGCTTCACCAAACAGTCAGAATGGAAAAGGGCATTCTTGGCAGAGTGTGCAGCCTGGGCAGAGGCCCAGGATTTTGAAAGAGCCCATGCTCTTGGAGAACTACAGGCAGTTCTTTCAGCTCGACCAGGGTATTAGGAGTGGGGGCCATGGTGAAAGGAGAAGCTGGCTAAAGCTAGACCTGCTACCACGGGCCACTCCGGCCCCTGTCGTTCATGTGCCCAGCATCTCTTACTTGGATTACTGTCAGTAGCCCCCTCACCGGCCTCCAAGTGTCTACTCTGCACCCCCTCACCTCACCCTTTAAAATGTAAGTCAGATAATGTCATCTCTCTCCTCAGAACCCCTCAGTGGCTTCAGTCAATCCAGAAATGACCTAGTGGGTCAGCCCACATTCCTCCCTGATCTTTCCTCCTTCTTGAGCACTCTTCTATGGCTATTTTGAACTCATTTCCTGCCCCAGGGCCTCTACACTTTCTTTTCTCTCTGCCTGGATATGCCTGTTTCAGATGTTCCAGTTGCTCACTCCACTGGCTCACTTCGTACCTCTGCCACTCAATTCCCATCTCTTCAGAGAGCCCCTGTTGACACCCTATACAAAATAAAACAATGCCCTTCATAAGTTTTGTTCAAAACAGTTGTCACTAGCTGGCACAAGCACATCTGGCAGAGGTTGTCGGCCTCTGCCCTGAGATGTAGGCCCCAAGATAGCAGGGATTTGTCTTTTTTGCTCTCTCTTCAGTGCTTGGTGTTCAGCAGGTATTTGTTGAATGAATAACTGGGTGAATAAACGAACAAATGAACGAAAACCTGAAACATAGCAGGCCTTCAAATGTGTGTTGATTAGAGACTTTTGTTGAAATGTTTGCCTTTACTTATTTTCCCTAACTTTGTATTTATTTGTTTATTTATTTATTTTTTAATTTTTATTTATTTATGATAGTCACACAGAGAGAGAGAGGCAGAGACACAGGCAGAGAGAGAAGCAGGCTCCATGCACCAGGAGCCCGAGTGGGATTCGATCTCGGGTCTCCAGGATCGCGCCCTGTGCCAAAGGCAGGCGCTAAACTGCTGCGCCACCCAGGGATCCCTTTTTGTTTTTTTTTTTTAATCCTAACTTTGTATTTAGAAAACTTTCAAATATAGAAAAAAAGTTGAAAGAATAGTCCAATGACTGTCCATGTCCACTTGATTCAAGGACTGTTAATATCTCACTGCGTTTGCTTTATATATTCTTGCAAGTATGTGTATGTTTGTGCAAGTGGAAGCGTTTAAAAGCCAGTTGTAGAAACATGACACTTAACCTTTGTGTTTAGAAGTTGGCTCTGGAAAGTGGTGAATCAGAGGAGACCACAGGCAGCTGGTGGCCGAGGCCATGGCCTCCGACCTGGACTTCTCACCTCCCGAGGTGCCTGAGCCCACTTTCCTAGAGAACCTGCTGCGGTACGGACTCTTCCTGGGGGCCATCTTCCAGCTCATCTGTGTGCTGGCCATCATTGTACCTGTTCCCAAGTCCCATGAGGTGGTAAGTCCTTCCCTGTGAGCCTCTGCTCCTCAGACTGGGTTCTAGGTACTAAAAATAGATACCATGGCAAAGAAGATTAGTTGGGACTATGCCAAATTCCTGCCTAGTGGCATTGAACTATGTGACCAACACTTTATTTGTTCACACGTTAAGCAAATTTTTATTTACTGTTTACTACATGTCAGTCTATTGCAAGATGTAGTGTCCATCCTCATGCAGCTTCAAGTCCTTGAGAGAAGGGCAGATATGAAGCAAATATGCATGTTTCCATGAGAAGCCCAGGGCACTGTGAGGGTGCATATCAAGGCGGGGAGGACCTGGTCTTACCTTGGAGCAGGGGAACTGAACTGCATTTGCAAGGACTCTACTTCAAGTAACTTAATGAAGGTGACTGTGACCAGAGCACAGAAGGACATGATGAGAGTTGCAGCTAGAAGAGTGAGTGGGGCCCAGAGGATTTTAAGTAAGAGACTGACATGATCAGATTGGCTTTTTGTTGTTTTGACTTTATTCTGTAGGTCTTTTTATTCTGTAGCATACTCCTTCCACTACCCTCCCTTTTCTCATGACATTGATTTGTTGGGGAAAGCAGGTCATTGTCATCTATAGTATCCACATCCAGGATTTAGCTGATTGCCTCTGTGTGGTGTCATTTAACATGTTTCTCTGTTCCCTATATTTCCTATCAATAGGAAATTCAATCTAGTTGCTTGAGTCAACTCAGATCAGGTTATTTGGTGAGAACACCTCATAGCTGGCGCTGTGGACTTCCTGCTATGTGTCACCAATGTGCGTGTGGTTTCTGCTTATCACACATTTAGAGATGCTGGGATTGATCAGTGGGTTTAGGTGGTGTGAGCTGATCCCTCTATTCAAAATTTCCCACCAGTCTTTCTTGTGTTTTCAGCATCCATTGCTGGGCTTCATTATTTCCTTCTGCATTTATTAGCTGGAATTCTTCAATGAAGACTTTTTCCTCATTGCCTATATGGTTATTCTGAAATGCTGTTCGTAGTAAAGGCTGGATAAATGCTTGTTTTTTTCCCCGTTTATTGATACTCAGAACAGTGAGCTTGGACTCTAGCAGTCTCCAATCTTGAACAATGAAGCTTTGATTTTCATATCATTTTGAACATATATATTTACTTATATCTGTTTCTTTTTTTTAAAAGATTTATTTAAGATTTATTTAAGTGTGCATGGGCACAGGGGAGTGGGGCAGGGGGAGAGGGAGAGAGAGTCTTAGCAGACTCTGTGCTGGGCATGAGTCAGATGCAGGGCTTGATCTCATCACGCTGAGATCATGACCTTAGCCAAAACCAAGTGTCAGGCCCTTAACCGACTAAGCCACCCAGGTACCCCTTGAATATATATTTTTATATATTTGATATGTTTTTAGATTTTTTTTTGTGCTCAAATGGTCTCAATGGGAGCCTCATCAAGTTGTGTGAAATAATGTCACCAGGGAAGTTCATTTGAGGCTCATTGGCTAGGACTTTTCTTAGGGATGGGTCCCACAAGCACCCTCTGCTTATGGACCAGAACTCCAGGCTTCCAGAAGGAAAGCCGGTATTCGGCATAAACCATATTGTTTGGTTTAGGTGCAGTGAGTCACTCTTATCAGTTCTAGGAATTGTGAGAACCACCCAGAATCCAGTTTTCCAGGTGCCAGCCAAGGGCCAACCTTGCAAGTAGACTTTCCTAAAGATAGCAGGGTTTTTTTTATGTTGACTCTACTCCATACACTTAAAATATATTATAATTTAAAAATAACTACATTGTTTTTTACTACTGACAGTAAGACTCCGAATGAAATATAAGGTTTCTTTGTGATTCTTTCTGGCCTAAAAATATGCCCCAGTAGGAATGTATGGTCAGAATACTGGGTTTAGTAATTCTTTTCTTCATATAGTTATATTCCCATTGTGATATACAGTTAGGCTAACTTGCTTCAACTTATTTTGAATTTTTAAGGATTTGTTTCCGTTTTGATTTAATTAAAAATTATGTAGAAATTTATGTATAATATTTCCCAAAGTCAAAATGATACAAGATACAATTGTCTTTAGAAACAGAAGTCTCCTTTAATCTCAATATCCTCCACCTTAGTTCCTTCCTTACTCCATAGGTAATAATTTTTATTATTTTTATTTATTCTTTTGTTTTTTTATTAAAACATGAGCAAATGCATATATGTGTGTGTGGTGTGGATATATATACGTATGTATATATATAAACATCCTCCCTTTTGATGCATAAAAGATGGCTTACTATTAAATACAGTTTCCCAGGGCAGCCCAAGTGGCTCAGCGGTTTAGCTCTGCCTTTGGCCCAGGGCATGATCCTGGAGATCCAGGATCAAGTCCTGCATTGGGCTCCCTGCATGGAGCCTGCTTCTCCCTCTGCCTGTGTCTCTGCCTCTCTCTCTGTCTCTTGTGAATAAATAAATAAAACTTAAAAAAAAATACAGTTTCCCATGTTTCTTTTTTCACTTAACATATAGTATATTCTGGAGATCCATTTTTCTTGGAGGTGACTGTGTCCCAGAGATCCTGCTCATGTAGCCGGGAGGATTACAGCGATTTACTGATGCAATGGGGAGCCTTGGCAAAGGAGCAGCTTGGGGTAGAGCTGGGGAAGAAGCATGCTAATGAGTTGTTTTATTTATTAATTTTTAAAAATATTTTATTTATTCATGAGAGACACAGCAAGAGAGAGGCAGAGACATAGGCAGAGGGACAAACAGGCTCCATGCAGGAAGCCTGTTGTGGAACTCGATCTTGGGATTCCAGGATCACACCCAGAGCTGAAGGCAGATGCTCAACTGCTGAGCCACCCAGGTGTTCTGAGTTCAATTTTAAATAGGTGCCTTTAAGATACTAGTTGGTTGTGCCACGTAAGTGGTTGGATCCACAGGTCTCTAGCAGGAGGAGGGTCTGGGCTAAATGCTGATCAACTGTGAGAGTTGAGATGTAATTGAAGCTGAGCAGTGAGGTTGAGGTCTCTGGGGCAAGAATCTGGGATGAGATGAGCAGAAGACCTGGGCTGCAGCATGCATTCATTCATTCATTCATTCATTTATTTATTTATTTATTTATTATTTATGAGCTGCAGCATTTATGGGGTGGGCAGGGAGGCGCAGCCAGTGAGGGCCAGGAAACCTTGGTGACTATGGACAGACCCATGGCTTCTGAAGGTTCTGGCCATCTCTGTTTCTTATTCTGGTACTTTGAGAAGGAGGTCATGATTGGAGTTTTTTCACCCACAATTGTATCACACTCTAAAAACGTAATCCCTCTGCTCTGGGACTCTGTCCTCACAGACATGGCATTCTATTGGGTATTATAAATAACAAACATTTTTACTGTCATTGGCCACTGATGAAGCCTACTAAGAGTCCCAAGGGAAGGAGGTGATGAATGTTTTTATTTTATAGGCAGAGATGTAGAGTCAGAGATGTGTGGCCTTTTGGATTGCTGCTGCTCACCTCCTGTCGTGTTCTTAACCCTTCCAGGCTGGGCACAGAGGCCTGGGTCAGTTTAGCAAACAAGGCAAAGGGGGTGCCTTTTACTCATCTCTTTGAGGCTCTTAGTGGTGCAGTGAGTTGAGGCATTTTAAGGCAGGGAGTTGACAAAGGGCTCAGCTGTGTGCCTGTTCCTGTTCCCCCCACTCTCCCACTCTGCCATTTAGAGGTTAATTTGGGACAACAGCCTCATCTTTTGAAATATGAATATAGTATATAACGTCTCATTTTAATTTATCTTGCAGTTTAACAGAATAAGGCTCACATAAGTGAATTGTCTTCATAACTGAAGTTTATGATTTTTAACTTTTTTTAAAAGCTTTTCAATGGATCAATAACAAAAATTACAGTACTGGTAATTAAGCTTTTTATTGGCACATTAGGCCAACAAATGGCCCCCAATTATGCAGGGATTCTACTGCCGGCTTTCCTCAGTGTGCCCCCATAAGGCAATCTTCTCTTACTCCACACATTCCCAATTCACCGAAGGGAACACAATATTCTGTGCACAGTCTCATGAAGAGAGGGTGAGTGCTGAGACTTCAGAGGTTGAGCCTCGCAGCTAGCTGGGATTTGGAATTTGGATGGCAATGGTGAAAAGAAGAGGATTTTACTTGGGACCAGGGAGGTCTTGAGGAAGGGTGCTTGTGGGGATAGCTGGTGGGAACCTCGGGCAGCCTGAGGGCAGGAGGGAAGTGGAAGGTGTCACTGGAAATGGAGGGTGCCAGGAGGTAGGAGAGGGTAGAAACGGGGGTGGGAGGACCCAGAGAACAGTCTTGCTCTCTTTGCCAGTTCGCTTAGGGCAAAATCATCCCTTTTGCTTGGCCTATAGGAACAAGGTTTATTAGTGGCTTTTTGGGTCAGAAGATAATATTTTTGGCTCTAGATGATGGGAAAGCCTTTGAAAAGCAAAAGAATGTCTTTCCTGTTGTTCCAGTAAGCCGATTTTTTGCAACTAGTTTATGACTTCAGTACTTCAATACTTAGCAGATTATTTGAAAGCTCTTTTGGGGGTAATCAGGGAAGAAAAAAGGAACACATACAAATGCTTCCCATCCCACCCCCTTCTTTTCATAGTGGGAGCAAGAACCAGTTTGCTAAATCAAAACTAAAGTCTTTCCAGTCCTAAGCCAAAGGAGAACATGTTCTTGTCAACACCTCATTAAACCAAGACCTGAGAAAACAAACATTTGTGTGAGCCTGATTGAGGCCTGAGCCACACTTAATCCAAGCATTTTCTTGTCGGCTGGATCCTAAAATATGAGATAGTAGATCCTTACACCATTTCTGTCTAGCCTAGGATGGCAGATACATGTCATCTCTCATGCCAAGTCTGATGGAGTGTGTGGTGGCCACAGTGAATGGGTTCTGGGCCTGCTTCTAGGCTCCAGGTAAAGTAATTGATCGTTGATGTCTGCTGTGAGCAAGAGCCTAGGGAGTCCTTGAGCTGGTCCATGATTCTCCATCTGTCTTCACC